ACTGCCCATTTTGCAATTTGTGCCGTGTGGGGAGGGGGCTTGGGATTGATTATTTTCATTGTATGAAATGCAACTGCTGCCTGGGGATGAAATCGGCATCTCACAAGTGCCTGGAGAAAGGGTTAGAAATGAATTGCCCTATTTGCTGTGACTTCTTATTTACATCAAGTGCTACAGTCAGAGCTCTACCTTGTGGTCATTATATGCATTCAGCTTGCTTTCAGGTCTGTTTCTGGCCCATTTTAGGTTTTAAACCTTCCCTTAAAGCAAGATATTCGTCTTCTATTATTATTTTTTTAACTTTTAATAAGAAGAATTCTAAGAGGTTTGAGGTTCACAGATTCATACTTATACTTTCCCAACAATGTAGGCTTACACTTGTAGTCACTACACGTGTCCAATCTGCAGCAAATCATTGGGTGACATGGCGGTGAGAACTAAAAAGACTTCCTTTGTAGATCATCACTGTCAAGTTTGATCTTATGCATTATATGCTTTCAAATTTTTATTAATTTTTTTTTTAATGAAGAATCAATCATGATGGTGGACGGGCACAAGAAAACAAACTTTTTTTTTTGGGGGGGGGGGGGAGGCAACTCACCCCGCTTAGTAAAACACACCATAATTAGTTGTTTCTCCTTCTACCCAGGTTTACTTTGGCATGCTTGATGCTTTATTGGCTGCTGAGGAGCTCCCAGAAGAGTACAGGGGCCGTTATCAGGTTTGTTGTATACTGTATTTTATTTTATTTTATTTTATTTTTTGCCAACGTTGTTGTACACTGTATCTACATCTACTTTTGCTTCTCTTGCACAGCTGCTGGGGAGCTTTTTTCCTTGCTAAAATTTATGCGTTTATCAAAAGACAAATGAATTAAGAATGTTGAATTATGGTTATCAAATCACAACATGCGTTTCAAATTGGTTAGAATGTTTTAAATTCTTGTAACAGAAGATAAAGTAACAAGTTAAAAAATAGCTTACCGTATAAAATATATGTATGTCTTAGAAATTGCATAACATAAGGTGAATTTGAGTTAAGAAAAGTATTTTATCAGTTTATTAGCTCATCAGAGATAAATGTGTAATCAATCAATTCTTGAAATGGCCCCGAGTAAACATTCCTCTGTTTTCTTTATAAGAGACACAGTCCATCCTCAACTATTATACAAACCTGCCAGGCTGCCATACCAACTCATTCTTCCAGAAAGATCAATCTATATCAAGTAGGAAACCGATCTACAATGGTAAAAGGCAGAGGCACTCATTTGCTCCTGTGTAAAGAAGTTTAACTTGCTTAGAGAGGGCATTTGAGTCACAAAGGGAGCCCTGTGTTCTGGGTGCAGGGCCAGTGGAGGAGGAATCCTGGTCACTGTTGCGGTTAGAGTCTCTAGCTTATATGTGTGAGGGAGGGAGGCGGACAAGAGAGAGTGCTAAAGAGCTTCTCGTGTGTTACATTGGGTTTCTAGTTCCGGAAAAGCTGAGAGAGAAACTTTGGAGACTATTAACATTCAGGTTGGATTGAGTTGCAATGCTGGCCAACTTTCACAATTCGGGATTTCTAAATTCATAGTTTAGGACCGTGTCTAATTCAGGTCAGATTCATATACTTGGTTTCGTCACTTGGTGTAAATTGTTAGATTTTGACAACCAGTAGAATCGAAATGACTAATGAAATGACATATTTCTCTCTTAGGCTGTGATTTTTTTGGTAGTTTTTGAGACGTGTAAATTTCACTAGAATCATCTGCTGAAATGCTTCATTCTAATCATTTTTTGCAATACTTGTACAAATTTTTTTTAACTCTGCCTCCAATATCACCGTACCAGAGGAGGTTTCAACTATATGAATGGGGTGAAATAAAATACACAAGATTGGTCATTCTTAATGGTATAATAATTTGTTTTGGTTGTAATTGCAATGCAGGACATACTTTGCAATGACTGCGAACGAAAGGGGTGTTCTCCCTTCCACTGGCTGTATCACAAATGTGAATTTTGTGGCTCTTACAATACCCGTGTGATCAAGACGGAGCCATCAAATTCCCGTTGCTCTTAGTCTCACTTGTGACAAAAGGCGCTTGACACGGTCTGTAAATAGTTGTATAGCCTATTCAATTTTCCCTCAATTAGTAACGTGGTCCTCCTTTTATGTTATACGCAATGGAGTGAGTGTAGAGGCCTTTAATGAGTAATCTTCTCGTGAGCCGAAGATAGATGCGCGAAATCAATTTTATAGCTGTCTATTGTCATGTACAGGCTATCTTGAGTACTTTCCTTTATTCAATATGTATTTTTGCATCTCCCTTCTATCTCCTTTTTCTCTTTATTCTTCAGATCAATAATTAAAGCTTGTTAAGGTGTGACATAATACATTGCATTTGTTTCAAAGAGATGTATTAATACATGATGCTCAGGACCAAGGAGCATAAGCTGCTATTAATATTTTAATAACGTATGCTCTCATTTGGCAATGAGCATGGTTGGAGGCTTGGAGCCTTATAGCTTAAATGACAACTAGTGCCTAAAATTTTTTTAAATGCGAGTTTGAGAGTTTGAACCCTCTATAAAAAGTATACGAGTGCATGAGTTATGGTTAAAATAGAGTACTGGGTGGGTGAGTTATGGTTAGATAGTTTTAGCAATGAGCATATAGTTCAGCTGGTAGAAAGATATGCTAGCTTAATCAATGATATTGAATTTGATGTTTGGATACACAACTACCTTAAATACTTAGAATTTTGCTATTTTTGTGGCTTTTATTTTTGGTTAAGATGCATCTAACATCTGAATTATTTGTTTAGGTGTATTTAATACCTCACTGTATTTTATGATATATCTAGTATCATAAACTGTCTTTTTAAGTACATTTAGTGCCGTGAAATATTTTTTAGTGCATTAATTTCTAAATTATTTGTTCAAGGTGCATCTTGCATCTTAAAATATTTTTTGCGGCATCTAGTACTAGTGGGGAAAAATATACTTTAAAATATTAGATACATTATAAAATATTTTATGATGCTAGATATGTTGAAAAAATGTTTTGAAGAGTTGGATGCAAGTTTAATCTCCCCAACACGCCCCGCCGCTTTTTTTTTTTTTTTTGTTCCCATTCAAAGGGGCTTAAGATCATTACCAACGTATGGGACATGTCCAAAATGGATGTGGCGGTCGAGCACATCACCAGCGCTGAACTGCTATTGCCAAGGAACTTGATCGGACCATCATTACCTTGGGTGAGCTTGTCTTATTATTGAATTTTTAATTTCAATATTAAAATAGAGGCATTAATGTGGCTCGCTAGCCGCTATACCCACACAAAGTCCGATAGAAAAATACTTAGCCATGCCCAAAAAAATGGCTTAAAAGAATATTGAGCAATTTTTTGGCAGAACTACTTGTTGAGCAAGATCAGACATTGAACACAGTATGCCGTGCTGCTCATTTGCAAAGATATATATATATATATATATATATATAATTTTATATACGAATATAATACACAGATATTGTCATGCTATACTTTTTTTGGTTCCTTATTTTTAATGGATCATAGATGATTAGATTTCATTTATTTTCTTTTTGTTCAAGTAAGGATAATAGGTTAACACCTATTGCATTGTGTTTAATTACGGAATTGAGGTGGAATTATGTGGACTACCGACATTTATATTTATTCTTTTGGTGTATTACAAATTGTGGATTGTGGAATATATTTGATGTTTAAAATATTATTACCTTTAATCCTAATTATAAAACCTTATTGATAATCTATAAATAAAGTCTTATAATTAGGACCGGAGGTAGTATTGGTTAGGTATTGACTGAATTTTATTCGTATATAAATTATAGGCAAGATGTCTCTATTTGAACACAAAAGCCTATCTTGCCCAGTTCGTCTTTACTAAACCCAAAATAACTCTAGTTTCTCACAAGCATGGGCAGGTAGCGGGTTGCAAAATACAATCCATTTATCTTTCAGGTTGAGCATTAGGTGGGAGTTATGTCATGTCCAGGTTTGTCCATTTACAAGCCTAATTAAAATATTAATATTATTTTATTTACTAGTCTTGAAAATTTATTAGCTTGTTAACAAACTATTGGTTGAAGTGGTAAGCAGCATCACTTTTATAAAGAGAAGAACACAAATTCAAATTTCAAAAAATTACCACTTCTAATTCTTAATATAAGAGTCAGTTTGACTTTTAATTTGATCATAAATATAATATTCTAATCTATTTTATTTATCATATTTATCCGTTTTTTCTAAACTAGTTCTTGTAATAGATACGCGTGTTACAAGTTTTATTAAATAGTAATTCCAGCTAATACACATGATTAGTAAGAGTATTTTAGAAAAAAAATAACACTTATATATTACAAATAACTAACTTAATAAACTTCCTTAATCTACTCAAATTAATCAACTATCCCTTATATTAAAAGCTGGAAGTACTACATTTTTTTAAAAAAGATAAAAATCTTTGCATTGTAAGCCTTGAAAAAAATTAATCTCAAATTCAAAGTAACTTGAATAGTGGTGGGTGCTCGTTTTATCACCTACTAATGAAAGAATGCTCATCTCTTTCAAATTTTGATCCTACTTGCCTTAAAAATCCTTTTCGAATTCTTTTCAATATGGTTTGCACATGTCAACAGCTTTTAAGTTTAAATATACGAAAAAAATAAATTATTCATCCCTGAGTAAACATTTCTAAATCTAATTTATTAATATTTGCTCATGTGGCTTCCGCGGCGAGAGTCTGGCTTTAATGGCACGAAAATATCCTCCAAGTGAGATCACTTCTCTAGTCTTACCAAAAAAAATTAAATCTGAACCTTTTATATTTGAATGAATGGTTCAGATTTAATTATTAGTACTCACCACTTTGATGATGATCTCGTTCCTCTCTTATATATACTTGAGAGCTGGCGCTTTGAATAGAAAAGGAAGTTTCTGATTCTTTTTCTCTTTCCGTGGGAAGCATGAAACCCTTAGATATGGAGCCTGAAACATCACCACGGCCACCGCGTAACAATCAATTGCTGTTCCGATTGAGGAACAATCATTCTACTCCAGTTTTCAATCCTCCGACGCAAGCCTCATTCGAGGATTCATATCAGAACTTGGATACCCAGAAAGATGCTGAGAAACCCATCGAGGTGATTCCGGAGAAGCCTACGATCGACGGCGACGTAGTGGCGGCAAAGAAGCTGGAGGTTCCGTTTGCTGAAGAAACGGCGGTCGTTGAGAGCGTAAAGTCTTGTTTGTGTAACAAGGAAAGAGCCATGTTTCCGATTATTATTTTATCGAGATTGAACAAGGAGATGGAAGGTGATTTATTGACCTTTAAGAGAGGAATGCCTCCGAGGAACACTAACAGAGTTAGTAGTCCTCCAACGCAAACATCATTCGACGATCCAGAACAGAAATTCGATTCCGAGAAAGATGCAGAAAATGTCATCGTCGACGCTATTCGCGAGAAGCCCACGACCGACGACGACGAGGAAGACGAAGAAGCGGCGGCGAAGAAGCGGAAAGTTTCGTTTGCTGACGAAACGGCAGCCAATGCGACTGTTAAGCCTTGGAACTTGAGGTCGAGGAATAAAAAACCTACGTGTTCGTCGCAGCCGCCGATGAAGTTGAGTGAAGCAGATAAGGAGAATTCAGACGAAGTGAAGAACCAAATAATAGTCAATTTTTCGATTACTGTATCGAACAAGAAGAAAGAAGAAGATTTCTTGGCCTTTACTGGGAAAAAGCCCTCCGGAAGGCCTAAGCGGAGGCCCCGCAATGTGCAGAAGGCGATAGATGTAAGACCGTACATTCATTCTTGAGTTCAAATTTATTGACTCTGCTTGTCTTCTTTTTCTGTTCTTTGAAGGACAAAATACGAAAACCCTACTTGATCAGTATTAAAGTACTTGATTTTTGTTCTAACTTTATCATTCTTGTTTAACTTTTACAGCGTATTACACCAGCATTTGAAATAGAAGAGATCATTGATGGAATCATACGAAGGTCGAGATTGCTCCATAATCATGAGGTGAAGTTGAGTGTTTGATGTTCTCTAATACATGTTGTTGGTTTTTCCAACTGTTACATGTTCACTAACCATAGCATCTGACTCATTTTCTTGGCGGGGACGCCATTGATGCCAAGCTAGGCAGTAGAGTAAAGGGAGACTTTATTGTTGAAACGAAAAATCTTGAGGGATATTTGTCAGCTGCCGTAGTTGCAGATGCCTAAACATCTATTTAGAAAACCTGGGCTGTTTCACATTTGTTGGGGATCAAATTTGTCATGTTCTTTCTTCGCACAATATATCTTGGTGATTGAATTATCATTGTTGTTCTTCTTCTTTTTGTTATATACATATATATATATATATATATATATATTTCATAACTTGCGCACTCATTACAACACTTCAAAAAAGAATTCAATTTACAGTCTCACTTTTACGCTATGTTTGGCTCGACGGAGGGAAGGGAGGGGAGGGATTTTAATCAAGGGAAGGGGAGGGGAGGGTAGCTACAAAGGGGAGGGGAGGGGGGAGGGAGGGAGGGATTTTAATGATCTCCTGTTTGGATTGATTGGAGGGGAGGGGAGGGAGCAATTTTAATAATACCTTATTTTGTTCTAATAAAAAATTGACTACTTTAGCCTCATAAAATTTAAATGAATTTTCTCACTTTTTATTTTGTTAAGATATAACTATATATATAATACAATTCACTAATTTTGATTTACAAGATACAGTCACACACTTATAGAATATCAAGACAAAAACTCACAAGTGATAGATTTCAATCAGAGAAAAGACCTTGAAGGTGAAAGAAAATACCAACGGCCTCTTAGAATTAGAAGAAGAGAAAAAAAGTTTACAAATGCTTACTAATTTTGGAGATAATTATCTTAATAACCTCTTATTAGATGCTCAAAAGAACTCTCTTATGTAGAAATGTTTATGACTGATTAGAAGTTAACAAATCAAAAGGGCATATAAGGAATTAAAATATCATCTCTCGTCTCCCCTCCAAAAAACCCTACTTTTGGAGGGGAGGCTAGAAGGGAAGGGGAGGGGAGAAAAACCCCTCCCCTCTTTAAAAAACATCTTAACCAAACGAGGGGAGGGGAGGAGCTCCCCTCCCCTCCTAAAAAATTATACCAGCCAAACAAGGGGAGGGGAGCAACTTCCCTCCCCTCCCCTCCAAAAACCCCGTACCAAACATAGCGTTAAGAAAACCTCCAACTCTGTACGATACGAGACTTCCTTTCCATTTTATGAGCTATATAGTACATCATCTTATTTCATGAAGTCGTTTTAATTTACGCAGTTAATTTCTTACGGAATGTGGTATCTACATAATAAACTGTTCGATTAAATGACAACTTAAAACAACCAACTGGAATGAAAATCCAAAAAAAAAAAAAACAATCTATAAGGGAATATTTTCTTTTCCCCCTAATAATCATATAGCGGAATATCTTTCAAAAATAAATAATTTCAGATTTAGATCTAGATGTTGCTTCTTAAAAAATTCATTAGACTATTTATCTGGAATATAGATTGAAAAAAACTTTTATTTTAATTAGATTGATTTAAATTTAAATTATAATATTTTAAATATTGTTCATTATACAGGGGAAAATTAAATATTTTAATCACCTAAAGTTAACTCATCAAATGATAAAAATTTAAATAAAATTCGTTTAAATATTTCCTATTACCTGTACGTCAAATAAATGAGGATTGAAAATCATCTATGAATATCTATCTGTAATCTTTTTTTTCTTTTTTTTGCCAACAATATCTATCTGTAATCAAATACCAAGGAAGAGTCCTGTTATTCCCATCAACACGTTAACCAATAGCTTGCTTACATTGCAGTCATTCTATATTGTTGTTTCATTGGAGGCTTAGTTTCGATCTATTTCTTTTTTTTATCATTAACATATTCGGAGAAAATATATTTTTTAAAAAAATTTAAAATAAATGAATTATATATGCACACCTCATAAATATAACAAAATTTATTTATGTCCTCTATCCAATTATCCGTCTAGCTTATCCTTTAGGAGATATTTGATAACTGTTTGGTTTAGCTTGAAAAACAAAACACTTTTGGATCATACGAGATGAATATGTTAGCTAGTTGGGAGATTTTTTTTTCCTTGTGAAGTGCAAAAGTAATTGTTTAGTCACTGTAATTTTATTAACGCATAAAACTCTAAAGTATTTTAAGTATTCTGGTAGGAAAAAAAAAGGGTATTTTAAGTATGCAACGAATCTGCATCATCAAGTGCAGCCAGAGAGATCCATTGAATTCAAACAAAAAACCCATCAACTCCAACCCTATAAATATAATTCCAAATTTTACTGAAATGCATAATAATCAAAGAATAGTCCATACTCCACATGATCAAGTCAAGTAAGGTGATAGCAAACTGCTGCTATTAGAGACAAAAATGTTAGTTAAATAATAATGATGTTGGTCATCATTGACTAAACCCCTCCTAATCACTGAAACTGCCACGTAATCCCATTTTCAATAATTCAGACAAAAACATCAATTAATGAAGCAGACACATCCATTTAATTGAATTTGTTCCGCTCTTGTATATATATCCTCACCATCTGTTTCTGATCTCTCCTTCCAATCATTGTCTCTTACTGTAACCCAATTAAATTTGCTTCATTCTGTAATATGCTCAATTCGTCTCTTTCTTTTCCTTATCAGAAACTAACATAATAATTTTGTTAGCAAAATTTTATGTTAGTTATCACTGAATTTTTTAACTTTTTCTCTAAGAATGTAAGTTTTAATTTTAATCTCTTCCCTTCCTGGAAAATCTAATTCCTTCCTCTGTTTTCCCTCCGCTAAACTAAGCAACTTGGTCTTCTGCAGTGCTGGATGGGCAATATTAAATCAATTTATTCATTCCGATTATTAATTTTAACACTTCGATTTGGTGTAAAATTATTCTCTTTTCTATATTTATTTCATGTTTTCCCTCTCTTTCTTGTATCATTAACAAAATAAAATATAAAAAGTCAACACTTCTCATATCATCAGTTTGCAATTTTTATCATCAAGGTATAATAAATTCAGGCAACAGTTATACTTTTAGATGCTCCCTTCCCTCATTATTACAAGATAGTTAACTCATTAAGTCTGTCTTAAATTAAATAAATCTTTTTAACTTTATACCTATTAACAGGATTTTTAAGGGGTGTGAAAAATACAAGTCATGTATATAAGCAACAAGAGCAAAATTGGCATAAAAGTGTCAATGATTCTCTAAATGACTTGTATTAATCCTTAGAAAGACGTCGCTTGGAGGGAATGTATAGTTATATGAAATAAGAGATTTTTTCACCAAAAAAAAAAGAGAGATTTAATTTGAGAAATTATATGAGTGCTGGAATCCAAACAAGTTAATATTTCTGGTAATCCAAGAACAAGACAGAGTCCATGGCAAGCAGGAAGTAATGAAAGCCAGATGATTAGATTCACAACTACATACAAAATGACTCAGTTCTTAGTCTTTTTAACCTTCCTAGCTCGTAAAATGGATCCCAAGTTAAATAAACTGGCACTACCCTTAGAGATGCAAGGAGTTGGAATGTTTAGAACAGGACTAACTCGGAGACCATCGCCATAATAAGATCCTCCATAGGCCTTACCTGAACCAGATTTCTGCACAGGATATGATGAAGACCCTCCATGACCCTTCCCATTATCCCTAGAGTTCGTTCTCTTTGGATTTGTCGCTGAACCAGTAGAGTTACTCCGTGGCAGAGAAGACGACGAGGAGAACAAGCTTTTCTTTGTGTCACAATTGAGACTTCTGCTCCTGGCAAATCCCCAGAAGGATCTGGAATGAGGTTCTCTGGTGCTCTGTTTCTTGGTTTTCTCAACAGGGGATGAACACGGGCGGGGAGGGAGTCTAGTGTAAGGAGGTTCACCACGAAGAGTATGTTTTTTTGTGGTGGGTTGGTTTTGAATTTGAGTCGGAACGATGACGCCATTGGAGAAAAGCTCATCTGCAGAGGATGATTCAGAGTGAAAGCTGTTTCTGGTAATGCTGAACTCGAACTCCAACTCAGAATTTGAGTCCATCATCGTCATCAGCGAGGCGTCCCGGCGAGGAGGATCGACATGGTGGTTGATAGGCGAAACTGGCAGGTCATTGGAGAAAGAAAGACGAGGAGGGCTTGTCTCAGAGCACATAACCACACGCAGATTTTATGATTGAAAAGGGGGTGGTTTGAGGTTTGAAAAAATTGTGCCTTTTTCTGATTTCAAAGTCAAAAAGTGAGAGAGGAAAAGAGAGGATTATGTTGGGCGTCTGGGTGGGAAAAAAAGAAGAGCAGATGTTTTCCTTTTATCTGAGAATTGGAGGAGGCGGAGGAAGAAGAAGAAGAAAAGGAGACTGGCTGTTCTTCTCTGAAAATGAAGCAGATGGATTTTTTTGCCTAACATTGTTTGGAGGCAGTGACAAAACGTGGGACAGAGGATACGTCACTTTGGAAGAGAACATGTTGTCTAGGCCGACATGGAAATTGTTAAAAGGAAAAAAAATGGACACTTCCAATTAATTTGTTTATACTTGTTCAATGATAAACGATGTTAATTCTCAAAATTTCAATATTACGGTTCAAAAAAAAAACACTTGAAAAACGCTGGACTTGAAAATTTTGACAGAAGAAATGGGGAATGTCGTTCCTAATGAAATTCGCATTTGGTTATTTCATTTGTACTTTAATTAATTATTATGTTTTTGCCAAACTATTTGTACTTTAATTATTGACCGGTACAGGTTATGCAAAATTATCAATTGAACTTTGCATCATTTTCACAGGCGCACACAAAATTTACGTGTAAAAATTAATCCGTTGTGAATTTAGAAAGATGCCAATAATCTTCTCTTAAATTTCAAAATTTAAACCTAATCAACCCATGATTAGTATCGTGCTTAAACAACAAAAAAAACATATTATAGTGATTATGATGAATGATTGCATAGAATAGAATGCAAAATAATGAGAAAAAGTTAGGCATGATTAGAGGAATGTAAGAGGAACCACAATCAAGTTATGCTGAAATGAAGGAATGATATTTGGAGAGTTTGTCTTGAAAACAAGCAGCCAAAAAAGACTTGTTCCACAAGATAACATGTTAGACTTTTGAGGCTTCTCCTATCTTAACCACTAATGAAGTCATTTGTTGCTTTTCACATCATTTAATCAAATTATTTATTCTATTTATTTTATTTATTGAAGGTAAGGGAACATTGTCTCATCTCTGTGCAAGGAATCACAATTTGCTGTGGAATAATTTATCAAATTAGGTGGGCAAGTAATGTCAAATAATGATCTTTCGTCCTCTTTTTGTTCAAAGCAGCTACCTTTCTTTCTATTCTATTTGGTCCATTTCTTGTGGATGATGACCTCACAAAAAGTTAATTTTGATTTGTCCATGGTCATATTTTTTTATGACACAAATATATAATTCATGTTGGATTTTGAATAATCATGACCATGAGGATGGACCAAGTCATCTTTTTGTTTTTTTCCCCCTTTGGAAATACAGTAACTAAATTATTTGAATTTAGGGGCCATCGGGTCTACGTGTTTTTGTCCAAGCTCAAAATCTTGAAAGTATTTCTGGAAAAATTATGAACACTGTAAAAAAATTGCGCAGTAATATAGCACATAATATCTTCTAGAACTTGTGAAGTGCTTTCTTTTTCATATTCAATGTGAAGTCATTCGTTAGTATAAGTTGAGAAATTGTTTTGACCTAACATTAACTTAACATCTATTCTTAATAAAAATGGTAATATTGCAATAATTTTGGAGGATCATGTATGATATAATTTCACAATTTTCTTTAACATGTCCATAGCTCCTACAGATATAATTTCAGTTTTAAAAAAAAACACTTTATCCTTTTTTAAAGAAAGATACAAATACAGAAACGGAGATTTTTTTTCATTGAATGTATGGTACCAACTTGAATTATTGGATCCACACACTTTATGTCTATTTCTTAATGCTTGATGAGATGGAAATTTAATTTGTTTTTTGATGCTCAATACTTGCCACAACATGCGACCCCACCCACACCCACCATCTCTTGTGAAATTTTCAAAATGCTTGGTGCAAGAAAAGATGTAACCATAACCTCAATGGACACTGACAAAATGTATTGCACTTTGAATGAGACTTATCTTCATTGTTGATGATGTCTTCCTTTCTGGTTGCTTTATTGGACCCCCAACAGAACAGAAAGATAATAGAGTATGCACATATCACAACTGTTCTGGAATGATTCAATTATATAGGTGGTGGTAGCCCCTCCTTTAAATGCCTTGTTCATAATCACAAGTGAAGAGAGAAGAAATAGAGTCTAGAGATTAGAGAGGAGTGTCTTCTTTCCTTCACAACGAATTACCTCTGCTTCATAGCATTTAACAGTCATCTCTGTTCACCACTTGCTTGTTGCTATTCATGAGCTAAGCCTAAGGTTCTATATAATCATTGTACTGCATCCTAGCTAGCCAGTAACTATCTTCACAACAACCTTAATTTCTTTGTTCAAATCACAATGCTATAGAAACAAGCAAATCAAGCTGCGTTGAGACGTTATATTCACATCCATTACCAATTTCTCCATCTAAATCATATTAGCAAGATGTTGAATGAATTGTTACTTAACATCGTGTGTTTCTAGAAACTGAGTCTTGTGATAGAGTTAAGGACTATTGATAATCCCGAGATTGCATGAATCTTTTGTTGTCTTATTTGTACATTGAGCACCATGTTCTTAGCACTTGACTATATTTTATCTGTTTGGCTAGATGCCATTTCCCCTAAAAAGGGGAAAATTTTGCACAAGGAGTATGGGCAAGATTCAAATTTGTACGAGTTGGCACTATAACTCGAGGTCGTTTTAGTTGGAGCAGGTTCTCCTAATTCTGATAAAGCTGTCGTAATTTCGTTTATAATTTTAGTTGTTCCTACTTCCCTCAACTGGCTACAAACACGCAACTAAATTGCATTATCATTTTATAATCTTTGTGGTTTAAGAGGAATTAGTTGTTCAAACGTAAAATAACCCAGATAAATGAATAACGATGACAAAGATGGTGATGGTGATGACACAAGACGTCTAACGAATTTGCTCTTTGGCACTAAAAAAATTGTACCTTTATTTTCTTACTTTCAGAATTTCAGAATTTAACCAGCTCTAGCATGGATTTCCAAGTTGATCACTAAAGAATGGGGACCATCCTGGCCTCTGAACATCAACTTTCTGTGAAAGAATTTTATTGCAGATTGTTGGATCGTGCTGCAAAGTCAAAAAGTTAAGACCTTTTTTTTTTCTACTTTAAGAAAAGCACTTCTCTCCTTTTTTATGTTTTTTAATTTTGAAATGAAAAACTCACTTTATAAATTGGTAAACCGAAGCAGATTATGCGACACAAGCAAGGATACTCTTCTTCGGAAATGCAGGAGCGTAGTTTTTGCCTTTGGCATCTAACCGGAATTCCCTGTTCTTTTTCACTTGAAGGGAGGGATTTTCCATTTTTGACAGACGAGAAAAGGCATTAAAACATTTTTTTAATTAAAAAGGCAACTACGATGAAGTTACAAAACTCCCAATTTCGAGGAGTTTTGATGTCACTGAATTATAAGGCTATTAGCTTACAATTTCATTTCAGGGGTGTTTGAAACACCCCATAATCACTTCTCAAAAACATTTTTTCATAAATCGAGACAAACTCCTTTATATATTTACTTCGTATACCATAAAAATACTTCTGAAACTATAATTTGATTCTTATCTAAACACCCCCTTCAAATAAAATGAGAAAAGCACTTTCAAAGGAGTTCTTGGGAGTGTTTTGATACTCCCAAAAACATTTTTATCATGCAAGTCAAAATAAAATTTCTCTCACATACTCACTTTACATGCTGTAAAATTACTTTTAAAACCATAATTTAGTTTTCACTTAAACACCTCTTTCATGACACTGAATTACAAGACCATTGGCTTAAAATTCCATTTCAAATAATGAGAAAAGCTATTGTATTACTAAAAGAATCACATCAATATTGTGTTACTAAAAGAATCTGGTAAAAAATCTGTCGTCAAATTATTAGAAATCCACCATTCTAATATTCAGTCTCGATAAAATTTTAAAGTTCTAATACTAAAATTGCTAAAACAAAATACCTCTAAAGCTTAAAAATTGATCGCGGAAATATCTCTGTCCCAAAAATGACAATTTACCCTATAATGAATCAATGGGAAATACATTCGCTCGTCATCCAGAAGAAATATCTAAAGTATCAGACGGTATGGAGTACAGGGGAATGTGGGATGGGGCTCCTTTCATCCCAAACACACATTTATGTAAATTTTTAGAAAATATTCTTTTTACAAACTCGAATGTCAATGTAGTACTTTGATGGCTTAATTGGATTGGAAAGACTTGGAAAATTAACAATTAGATTACCGGATATTTATGCAAGCATTAAGAAATCTAATCATCGAAGGTCAATGACATCAAATTTTAAATCTGGGTTCATGTAAACATCTGTACAGGTTTTGTAAATGGGCCCACCATCTGGAGGTGGATTATGGGAATGAAAGCCGCGTAGCTGACACTGTCTTATGACCGACATGCCCCCAGGAGTTGTCAAGCGAAAGATGCCATGGGTCCTGTACACAAGTAAATCCAAAGTTACTCTTTTGAACAGGGTTTTCCCGCACCCTAACTCAAATTCTCCGGCTTTTTTAAGCGTAATCTGATATTATTCCTATCATTTTTGTTATAGTGGGAAAGGACAAAAGGATGTTTTGATCAACAAACTTCTAACTTGTGATCTTACCTCGAACTATCCCTTGGGGCCATAACTATTGCAACAGATTCTGGCAGCATGATCTGGAGAAGCATGTCCGTAAGATATAGAGAGAAAAAATATGAAGACAAAAATCGATGAAGGATATCACTTTTTGAAGGAAAGGAAAGCGTTGCATAAAGAAATTAGGGTGAAGTAGCATCTAAGACCCTGAAGCCATTTCCCCGGCGTAATGCATGAAATAGATCATAACTTGATTTTGTTTAAAAAAATTATTTTTCTAATATCTAATCATGTTGAAATGTAATTTTAAAAAAAAGGGATGCATGGCATGGCCCAAAATAAGGAGCTTCATGGAGTCTAACACAATGTGGAGAGAAAGATTAAACTAATAATAAAAATAATACCAGAAAAAACCGAAATGACTCGCATTTGAAGCTTCTGGTACATTTATATTTATAGTGATGATAAAAATGGTGACTAGATACAGGATCTTCATAACTCACCTGATATGAGTAATGGGTGTGCACATCAATTGATGACATGAAGCAAGATTGCGTAGGATGGGTCTGGAAATTCAAGAAATATGCACAATAAACATTAGCGTTGCCAAAAGACTAGTACAACAAAAACTTGCAAATTTATACGGGCGAAAAAGAAGGGAAATTTAAAAGGCACGGGAATTTATATGCTAGATGAAACTAGAGTCCAATAAGTGACAGCTTGAATAAATAGAGTAGAATGTATGAATCATTTCTATGATTGGTGCTGAGGATGAGTTATCATGATAAATTGAATTCGGAAAGTAAAAAACGAAAAAATACTAGGACCAATGGCCACACACAACACAAAACGTGAAGAACTCACATGAATCCAACCAAGGGGGAAAAGAGATAGCTTATCCTGTACATCAAAAATTTCCTCTTCATTTGTGGTCTGACACTGTCCAAAAAATCCAATAAATGCAAGATATATAATTTACCAAGAAAAATTAAATGTAAGATCTATAAAATATGAATATAATTCTAATTGCCCAAAGAGTTCATACAGAATCCGATGTCGACTCCTGCTTAGGGATGATAAGAGCTGTCACATAAAATTTTCTGTTTTTCTGCAGACAGGAATATTTGGAATAAGATCCACAATCTAGCTGAATTAAGGTAAAGAAGCTGGAGGAAAAGATCAAGAACAAAGACTTGCGGAACCCATTGTCAATGAAATGATTGCAACTTAATGTATAACGCATGCATCAAGTTCTCTTGAAAAACATGCAGTGCAGAGAGAGGCAGCTCTTGAAAAACATGCAGTGCAGAGAGAGGCAGCTCTTGAAATACATGCAGTGCAGAGAGAGGCAGCACAAAATAATGCTTCAGCAATACCAAGGAACAACAGCTGGAATATAAGAAACAAAGTTCCTTCCATGTATATGTTAACGGTGGGCCACCAATAAGTTTGCTTCTGAGGAGGTCACTCTAATATCTTGGGGCTTCACCCCCTTTAGATCTATCCATGCATATTATCACAAAGAAGTTTCAGTACTTACAAGCAAACCAGCAAGGACGCCACAAGTCTCTAGATTTTTGTCTGTATTTAACTTGGCAAGCTTCATAAAATTCTCCATCAAAGCAGTTGACTGCAGAATGGAAACAGCGGTCAGGAAATAAGAGCATAGTGTATCCTTTCATTAACATTTCAACATTTATAATTTTACATTTATACATGATAAATACAGGCTAAAAAGTAGATGCCCAGAAAAACCTTATACATGCTTCCCATGACAGGCTAACATAAAATAATACATGAAGACGTGATAAGGAAAGATTATTGACTCTCACAATGTGAAGTTGCAGAGGAGTTTCAGCCCGCACAATATCATCTGATGCGGGAGCCTCTATCTTACTTTCTGCCTCTGTAAACTGTGCTGACATCGCAGGGATCAAGTCTTGTACTTCAGCAAGTACCGGTGGAGGTGACGGCTGTCTGATAACTTCTATTGGAGCAGAGACTTCAGTTGTTTCAAAAGAGATAAGAGAAACAGGCTCCACCGTATGCTGGGCGTGGCAATTCTCACTCACAGCAAGAACTGGTTCTCGGTCCAACCTACTGTTGTCTGAGATGCTATTATCTTTTTTATCCTCCAGTGGTCCATCTTCCACAGACTGTCGAAGGCTGTTTGTACAGAAAAAGAACCCACACAATCAATTTAGATATTATATCAAAATAAACAAAGCCACCAGCTTACATATACAGCATATGACACAACGTTTTAACAGATTAATATTTTAAATATAAAGATCCTTCCTGTGTATCAAATTCAAATACAATTTTTCTTTTGGGAGCAATTTTCATCTTCTAAAAAGTTTCACTTATCAGATTGAGGCAAACACCACAACATCCCCCTTCAAAAGGTAATTAAGGCCAATAACAAAAAGTTTCTTCAAGAAACTCCCAAAAAAAAAAAAAGATAACAACCTTGGTATTTCAACTGGAGACAGGTCTATGTCAATTGGATACCTGATCTACATTAAGAAAAAAGAAAGTCAGGATTACCTCTGTGTAAAAGGAAAGCAAAAGTAAGTACTAGCATACCCCTTTATCACTTCTAGGTGGCTGCCACTGCCCTATAAGCCCACTGGGACCAAGAATAGAATGTTTGGAGAGAGTTTCCTCCTTTGGGCGTGGAAGAGCTAGAGATCTACAACAATCAAGCAAAACTGAAAAGGTAATCAAGGATGCAGAAATTAACAGCATTTGTCAAAATAAGTTATAACCAAATGTTTCATCATCTATCCATTTATACTATAATACTAATATTTATGGGTTTGGGAAAATAGCTTCTAGCAAGTAAGCAATGAATGATAATTATTTTTGGAAACCAGATGATAAGAATAGAAATTTCACACTACAAAAAGTGCTAGAGAATTGATACCATGCAATCAAAATTAAGACCACAATGTCCATTAACAGATCCCATGACGACTCCAAAGCTTAATGTCTGGCTGTAGTTATATAACATGTCCAGAAAACTCTTTTTAATCATTGTGCTAGAGTCAGCTTAGTACTAGTAGTCACAAACAACAATCAACAGGCACAACCTAACATTAAAATTAACACTAGAAAAACAAGAGAACCTTGGGAAGCTTTCATATGCACAATATGACCAAAGAAAAAAGTGAACATTCAGATGAACAAGAGCCTTACTTTAAGCATGTATTTGAAGCAAAAGTGAAAAATTGGATAATATCTATCAACTTAGGGAGGCCCAATACACGTGACTTCAAAAATATCCCAATACTTACAGTCTTTGGAAATGCTGTTCCACTGGCCTAGCATAAGAAAACTGCCGACCCCTTGATCCTCGGTAGACAAAATCTCCAGCAACTGGTCTCACGGCCTGATGAGATATCCAATAACATATGGATTAAAAATTTCATATCAATGGGAGGTTAGACAATAAAATAATAATGGACAAACACACAGAGAGAATTGATGTAAATGAAATGAGAGATTGTCCCCACAAGATTCAGAGCAAATTCCTACCTTTGTTTGACCGGTGTAGGCAATAGCTTGCTTCTTGACTGGAGAAAACTGAATCAAGTTATTTGAATGAGGTCTTCCCCACTCATTTTGTAGGGAGGCTCGCGGTCTGTTAGGTTCATTAACCTTCTGTTGGACCAACGGTTTCAACTCCTCCAGTTCATCCAAAGAATTCAGCAATTTCTAAAGCAACAAATTAAAAATCAGATCACATCCAAAAGTTTGTATAAACAAAATCTTTTTGAGAGAAGAGATACAACAAGTCCACCTTTCTCAAAGCAACTTTCTTGCTTTGTGGAGATGCCTTATAATCTCGGTGACATGGTATTGTCTCGGACACCAAACTAGAACCAACGAAAAGGAAGATACCTTAATGCCGTCTAATGACAAACATACCGCAAAATGAACTCCACACAACTGATGCCTTTTAAGAAATATCATGAGTAAAGTAATGCTACTTGCCACATTTTTCTTACCTAGAAAATCTTAGAAGCATAACATATAGATCAATAATATTCTTCTCTGCCCGAAAGATATCAGCCTGTAATGTCAAAACAACTGGAGCTAAAAGTTTATGCAAACCAACTGAATAATAAACGAAAAATTTCTGTCATAAATTTTTCTAATAAGTTAAAATATAAAGCAAGACAGTACACTCCGGAGGAGTGCTAAAAGTAATGCAAAAGATATCCATATTCAGTATATCTATCAATTGTGGGTACTACTCAATGAATTAAGACCAATTGGCAGAACACAACCCATTTCACATATGAATCAAAGTTGCGCACCATTTCTGTAAAGCGTCGTCATATACTATTGCACACAACTAATGCAGCTCAGGCAATTATTTCATCCTTAAAACGTGAAATTTCAGCAATCTTGAACCTCAAATTTTCTTCCAATCGTTAACTAAGGTTATCGACCAACGGGAGAAGAACGTATGGCAGCTCGAGGAGGAGCTAGGGCGGACCCAAGGAGCCCAATAACGGGATAGGACTGGAGCCGTAGAGCGACAAAGACTATGGCAGGACATATATAGAATCCGCCAAAGAAGTCAGAGTTTCAAAATCGAAAAGGAGATTCAGAATTAATAATTCAATATCAGCAAAAGTTTAGCCAAGAAAATCCCACCTAAGATAATTCTCAGCAACGTAATCATTAAGATAGAGGGAAAATACCTGCTTGAGAATATTATCAGCGATCCGATAGTAGAAACGGATGGCAATCCGATTATCGACATCAAGTCTCTGAGCAATAGCAGCGATGTTGATTGTGTCGGAAGAAGACCTCATTTCCCCCGAGACTTTACTTTATCGTCTTCTTTCTAAACAAACAACATCTGCTGGTGGAAGTGTTGACCCTGTGAATCTTCTTTCGGCGAGGAACAAAAAAGATTGATCGTCAACGGCGGCTCCGGCAGAGATCAAAGGGGGGAGATAGATACGTCACGATGAAAATAGGCTTGTCATTGTGCTTTCTCATGAGGGCAAACTTGGCAACGCAAGTCTGTTAAGGGTCTGTTTCATATTTGGCTGCTGGAACGTCGCAATGATTTTGCCTTCTTTTTAATTTTAATCAAAACAAAGTTTGGACGGTATAAAATACTAGTATTTAATATAAAACCTTATTTAACTATAAATAACTAACTTTGACTTCTTTTCTTAATCAAATTAGTTAACTAGCTCTTATAATTAGGACCGGAGGTAGTATTTTTTATGAGAATTTATAAATGCTTGCTTAATTTAATAATTAATGTTTGAAATGAGTAGTGAATAAGCTTGCAACATCCATACTACCTCCCATCTCCAATCCTTAATACTCCTCTGGTTTTTAATATAGGACTTAATTATTGAATTGATTTTGGTTCTAAATATAAAACTTATTTTTTATATTTATCAATTTTTTCTAAATTATCCATATGGATACTCCATCAACCATAATCAAGTAGAAGAGAAAGGGAGGACATTAAGGAAGATAATTATAGTGTTCTAGGAAAAACATGTCATATTTCTTATAATTAACTAACTTACCTAACTTTCTTAATCTAATCAAATTAGTTAAATAGATATTATATTAACGACCGGAGGAGTACATGAGCTAGTTTGACATTTAACTTAGTCTTAAGTATAAGATCTCAATCTACTTTGTTTTATTTATCTATTTTTTTAAAAATAGTCTTTGTAATAGTTGAACATATTAAAGGTTCTATCAAATGATAGTTTTAACTAATACACATAATTAATGAGGTATTTTAACAAAGACAACATCTATTTATTATAAATAACTAACTTAACTAATTTTTTTAACCTCCCCATATGAGTTAATTAGATCTTATATTAAGAATAGGAGGTAGTACTGTTCAATTAAATTTTTTTTTAAAAAAAAAACTTATATCTCATAATACTACATCCAATCCTTAATATAAGAGTTAGATAACCAATTTGAAAATATTGAGAAAATTAGCTAAATTATTTTTTTATCACAAATGTGTGTTGGTCTTCTTAAACTATCATCTTCTATCATATATATTAGATTATCAAAATTATCCCATCATAAGAACCCTTTACAATCAACTTAGAAATTTTGAAAAAATATAAGGGATAAAATAAATTAAAATATTATATTTAGGACAAATTCAACCTATCAATCAACTCTTATATTAAAGATTAAGGCTTTGTTTGGTTCAATGGAGGGGAGGGGAGGTGTGGTGAATTAAGTGGAGGGGAGAGGAGGAGAGGGGAGGTTATGAGTTTTATTTGGTTAGAGGAAAAGAGAGTGAAAGGGAGATTTCTTATTTGGTTTAGGAGGAGAAAGGAGGGGAACTAATTATAAATTGACAAATATATTCTTATCTCTTTATTTAAACTTCTTTATTATATTATTACGATATTTATATCATAATTATTATTTTTGAATTTGTGAATATAAAAAAACCAGATACCTTGAGACATAACAAATGGATTATAAATAATCATACATAAAAATAAATGTCAATCAAAAAAATATATTATAATTTTTAGCATATTATATAAATTATAAATAAATTTATGCTACAAGTTTTAAACTATTCTATCCTTAATTATATAACATGCACAACCTCACATACTTAATTAGATAATATACAAAGTTTTGTGTAAAAAATGAAATTGAATTAAAATAGATATATATATATGGACACATATATCAACGAATTTGATTATTGATAATATCATTTTAATAGATTTCAATGACTTCAACTCATATAAACCAATAAAGAATAGTTTTATACAAAATAAATGAATAAAAAACACTGATAATAATGATAAAATGAATGAGGTGGGGGATTAGGCAAGAGGAAAAGATGGGGAAGATTAATGGCAAAGAGCGTGAGAAATGATGAAATCAAAGAAAGAAAATATGCAAGGAAAAAAAATCTCTGGGGAGTACAAAAAAATCCGTAAAAGAATAATAGGGACTAAAAAAAAGTTTAAAAAAAGGCAAAGAGTTAAAAAAAAAAAGTTTTTATTGAAAAGGAGAAATTTCGAATATTCAAAAACAACCATAGGTGATTTAGTCAAGATTAGACATAATATTTCTCTCCCCTCCAAAAAACCTCAAATTTGGAAGGGAGCAGAAAGAGGGGAAGAGAGCACTAAAAGACAAAAGTTTTTCCCTCTCCTCCTTTCTATTTTTCTAAACCAAACATAATTTTTTCTCCCCTCTCCTTCCCTCTTCCCAAAAATTTTCCAATCAAACAGTGTGTAAGGCCAGGAGGTATTAACTGACAAAATCCACAGGGATTGGTAGGTTAGTTTTTGTCATGTGTATGGGGAATCAATTGTTTGTGCGGATGAATTAGCTAAACTCTCTCATCTGCTGCCAGAAAACTTTTGTATCCTTCGTCACTTCATTTTTTACGTAGGAGGCGGAGGGTAATGAGTGAAGTAAGGTGCAGTGTTATTTGCATTTTTACCTAGGAGGCGGAGGCTACTAGTAATGGATTTCAGCTTCCAGTTAAAAAAAAAAAAAAAAAAAAAAGGGACAAAACTTGCAGCCTTGCTCTTTCGAGGAACATAAATTGGTAATATTTCACCGCTAAAGAACAGTAGCCTGAGCTCAGGCAAATTAAAATAACATGAATGACACTATAATAAGTAACAAATCTTCCCACTTTAGCCGATGATGTCATCAGCTCTGTGGGCTCTCTGCATCCGCTGATCGGCTATCCCAAATGGCAAGTGGGGAGGGAAGTGTTTTGTGTTGTCATTGAGATTCATATGCATTGTTTAACTACATAAATTTGACGCAGTGGTTGACTGCAACCAAAAACAAAAAATAAAAAAATTTGACGCGGTTCCATGTGATGGGAGCGCTGATGATTAACATCTTTGTTATCTGGAAAAGTGAACTCCTTGTCCAAGAAAAAGTAGACTGCAGCGCAGACTTCACGGTTTCAAAAATTTCAGACTTTCTTCTTCCATCATCGTTACTCACCAATCTCAATATTTCCAATTTCTAAGGATCAGAATTTGTCCCTCCTCCCCTCCCTCTCTCTCCCACCCACATTCTGCCGTATGATTCGTGGATCTCAGTTACTACTAAGGGTTCAACTTTTATCCCTCCAACACTGAGCTAAATGAGACCAAATTGGGAGCTCAAGAACTGCTGCAACCACGAGCAGGTGGTGTTTCTGGTCACTGTCAGTGTCTGCACTGTGGTGATTCTCGCGGTATGACTATCTGCTTCTTGCATTTTTCTTTTCCCATTTCATATCCTTCTTCGACTTAACTTTCTTGGATCCATTAAATGAACTCCATTTCCTTATACGACCTAAAGATGTGAATCCTGCTTCGTTTCCTTAAGTTACTTCCGACATGGTGCTGCCCCCATCAAATACCGGCCACATTTTGCAAATGGTTCTGGTTTCCCTATCATATGCAGGGATGGTTTCTTCTGATTCTTTCCCAAATTGCGTCAATTAAGAACCAGCGCGGTTATTATCAACAAATTATTCTTTGAATTCTGCAAACTTATTCTCTGCAAATTATCCAAATTTTGGACTGAACATCCTAATTGGATTAATGAATGATCTTTATATGGATTCATAATTGATCACTTGAACTTATGCCGTGAACGGAATGAATCTGATATATTGATAGTTAGTTACTCGTATGCTTGTATTTTGTGATATAAAATCTTCTATTTATCTATCATTTCCTTGTGAATCCCTCTTTGATTCCTTGCAGCTTTGGAGAACAGTTCTACTCACACCTTTTAAGCTTATTACAGTATTTCTTCACGAGGCAAGCCACGCAATTGCTTGTAAACTTACATGCGGTCATGTGAGCATCTCTGTCCTTCTCTCACATCCCTTCAAGTTATATGCTAATATTTATTATGTCGATACAAGTTTTGAATAATACATGTTTTTACAAAAATGTGACTTAATATTTGTGTCCAAGAAGAGCCGCATTAGTTTAGCATTTATATTCCTTGAATACTTTCATACTTAATCTCCACTTCAGATGCTGAAAGTTATGTTATCTGCAGGTAGAAGGAATTCAAGTTCATGCAGATGAAGGTGGAACAACCCAAACACGTGGAGGCATATATTGGCTGATCTTACCAGCAGGATGTATTGTCTATTACATTCTAGATAGTGATATTTTCTGTGCCTGCCATTCAACGTGCAGCAGCTAATTTATATATACTTACAATCTTTATGGAATATCCGTAAATGTTTGGATTTATTTGATCTCATGCTTTTAATCTATTCTCGTCATGGTGGCAATCCAGATCTTGGTTCAGCCTTCTGGGGCATGATCTTGATACTTGCATCAACAAATCTTCTTACTGCAAGAATAGCCGCTGGCTGTTTTATTGCTGCTCTACTTGTTGTCCTCTTTGTTGCAAAAAATGTAAGTACTAAGTAATGTTTTATCAGTGACTCATGTCATTTGATGCAATTGTTTCTATTTTGAAACTATGAAACCATACAAATTGATTGTACAAGTCTTAGCATCCATGAAGTCACGAATATACAGACACATTACTTAAATCAAGTATCTTTGTTATTGTTTACAAACTTCAGTGAATAATTTGTGTGCTATGAATCATAAGCATTTCTGGAAAGAGCCATGTCCATGTTCCATATTCATAGAACCATCATAATGAACAAATACAATGATTCCGGTTTTGTTATCTCTGGCTGTTTGAGTCAACGTTGTGTCAGTACTTTGCTTCTTTTCTTGAGTGAGTATTTTCTTTGTATGGAATACATGTGACCTATGCGGGGATGGTGTTTATCCAGTGGACTCTTCGAGGACTTTGTATTGGTATGTGCTTTCTTGGTTAAAGATTATTTATTCCTAAGTTACACCTGCTGCATCATGTTTCTCAGTTTATGCTTCTAAATTGAGGTCGCAGGGTTTATCATTTTCCTTGGTATAATATGGGCTCTTCAAGAGACGACTAAAGTTCGAATTTTACGGTACATTATCTTGTTCATAGGTAAGCAACATATTCTATAGTCATGGATCTAGAATTACATGGGTGCAGAGGACCAAATAAAGTCTTTGGGAGCCTTATACCAGGTTATAATTTGTAGGGTCGACTTTATATATTTGAAGCATGATGGCTTATCTCCATGAGGGGATCCTTGGCCAACTCCTGCGCCACATTATTGAAATTCATTTGATATTCTGTTATTTTATTTCAATATGCAGGTATAATGAACAGCCTGTTCTCGGTATATGGTATGACTTGAAACCTATTGATCTAGTATTAGATTGCCCATTATGAAATGATAAAATCCCTACAATATGGTTATGCAGATATTTATGACGACCTGATCTCTCGTAGAGTTCACTCCAGTGATGCTGAAAAATTTGCAGAAGTGTGTCCGTGCCCTTGTTCTGGATTCGGATGGGGCGTTATTTGGTGAGGAATGTAATTAGGAACTAATGATTGGACTTCATTTTTCCTCTATTGTGCTTACAGGACAAAGCAACCTGATCACCAAGTGTTGTTTCATTTAATGAATTCCAAAATTTCACTTGCAGGGGTCTGATATCTTTCATCTTTCTTTGTGTAGCCGTTTATCTGGGTATTGTGATCTTGTCATAAGGTAATTTGTACTTCTTCTTCACTCTTTTAGCCAAAGCCTGACGAACTGTCTTCATTTATTAGATGCAAATAGAAGAAATATCGATAGATTAGGTATATTGGTAAATTCTCTGAGGATCTCATTGATCCAACAGCAGGGTTCTGCTCTGTAAAGCTGATTCTCTTGCTAGATTAAGGGCTGTGGCTTAATGGCGAGCTACCTCACAGTGATGTGCAAACTTTGGATCATTTAGCAGCTCCACCGGGACTTGCCGGATAACAAAAGTTGGCCAAATACTTGGCGTGAGATATCACTTTCCATAATATGTGATAGAAAGTTGTATGGAGCAACCTGCAAAACTCACGATTTTAGGTAATTTATTTGTTTTTGTGATGGAGCTCCAGGGGCTATAGATAAGACATTAATTTAATGCCCCCACGAGGGCTGAACTCCAGGGGCTCTTCTGTCACATATTCATTCACATTGGCCTAAACTTACCCCAACACTTGTATTTTTTTCACATGTACTATATCACACAGCTTTATGAATTTAAAGTTTGAAATAAGAGAAAGAAATGGGGGTGCATGCACGATGATTTATAGTCTAACCAGCCTATGTAATAATTTCTAGCTACAGAAAAGCATTTTATAGGTATATATGCTTTTTCTCAATGTTTAACTTGGCCTCTAAACTTTTTTTTTCCCTTCAGAAAACCCTTCAACTCTGGTTTATTAACATTGTTAACCCCTATAACTTTGTACAATTAGCTCCTATGCAAGGGCTAATAGTGCTAACTGCTAATTGAGCAAAATTAAAGAATTTAATTAAAAGAGAAAAATATGTAAGTACCAGATTAAAAATTGAATGATAGTGTAAGTATTTTAAAATGGTTTTTCCCTTTTTAATTTAAATTATATATAAACAGCATATATTTGGTCTTCCTCACTGAAATAACTCAATAATGTGGAAGATAATAAATGACAAACGCCGAAGATCACAACCAGACGCAAAGCAGTGAATCACTAGTTTGAAGTCGGTGATTGCAAGAGTCAACCCCCCCCCCCTATAACCATACAATGAACAGAAGCCCGAAGGCGCTTATCTTCTCTATATGGTGCTGCTAGAATCGCCAATTGGGATTATTCCGAGCTGGAATTGGTGCTCTTTTTTTGGTTTTTTTTTGGGGGGGGGGGGGGTTTGGGAAATTGGAAGAAATCTTCAATGGATTAGAGCCGACTATGGCCTAATTTCGAAAACATGGTTACTTCCTATTAAAACAGAAAATGGCGACTGAATCCAGCTACCACCTTTTTCTGTTTATCTTCAAACATCCTCCCACATTCCTGCAAATTTGAAGATAATCCCTGCTGAGATTTAGTTAGTTGGAAGTTTATTTAATTGACTAGAACATATCAATGCAAAAGATAGTTAGGGTAAAAACCAATGTTTTAAACAAATGGTTTTACATCAATAGCCCTGAGAAAGAATCTCATCGAGAGGACGAGGGAGTAGCATAGCGTAATCCAACGGGAAAATTACGTACAGGTCCCACAGAATGCAATTTATTACTATGAGGTCCCACGAAATGTCAAAATCACTGACAAGTCCCAAGGGACCTCGGAGTAATATTTTCAATTTGTAAAATGACATTACTGCCCTTTATATTTCAGATTCACATTTGCTCTGTCATTGCGATTTACAACCTCAGCAGCGACTATTAACAACCTAATGAGAGGGCGTTAACAACCCTAGTAGTATCCGTTAACAACTTACTTTATAGAATCATATAACCTCCACATAAGAGTAAATTATAACCAAATAGTATAATACAACAACTTTAACACTAAAATGGGAAGCTTTTTGATATCATTAAGAATTTTAACTAGATCCAATAGGATTATAGTAATATTTTAATGCGAAGATCAATTTACAACCTCAACAGCGACTATTAACAACCGAATGAGAGGGCATTAACAACCTAAGCAGTATCCGTTAACAACTTACTTTATAAAATTATATAACCTCCGCATAAGAGTAAATTATAACCAAATAGTATAATACAACAATTTTAACACTAAAATGGGAAGCTTTTTGATATCATTAAGAATTTTAACTACACCCAATAGGATTATAGCAACATTTTAATGCGAAAATCCATTTACAACTTCAATAGTAAGTATTAATAACCTAAGGAGAACTGTTAACAACCTCACCAGTGTCTGTTAACAACTAACTTTGTCGGATAATATAACTTCTAACTATAACTAACTAAATTATAACTAAATAGTCTTAAAGTTAATCTTATATAGTTGTTAGAGGTTATATTATCCTATAAAGTCAGTTGTTAACAGATACTGCCTAGATTGTCAACGGCTCTCTATGGGTTATTAATACTCACCATTGATATTCTAAATGGATCTTCGCATTAAAACGTTGCTATAATCCTATTGGGTTTAGTTAAAATTCTTAATGATATAAAAAAGCTTCCCATTTTAGTGTTAAAGTTGTTGTATTATACTATTTAATTATAATTTATGCTTATATGGAGGTTATATGATTCTATAAAGTAAGTTGTTAACGGATACTGTTTAGGTTGTTAATGCCCTCTCATTCGGTTGTTAATAGTCGCTGTTGAGGTTGTAAATTGATCTTCGCATTAAAATATTACTATAATCCTATTAGATCTAGTTAAAATTCTTAATGATATCAAAAAGCTTCCCATTTTAGTGTTAAAGTTGTTGTATTATACTATTTGGTTATAATTTACTCTTATGCGGAGGTTATATCATTCTATAAAGTAAGTTGTTAACGGATACTGCTTAGGTTGTTAATGCCCTCTCATTTGGTTGTTAATAGTTGCTGTTGAGGTTGTAAATGGATCTTCGCATTAAAATATTACTATAATCCTATTGGATCTAGTTAAAATTCTTAATGATATCAAAAAGCTTCCCATTTTAGTGTTAAAGTTGTTGTATTATACTATTTGGTTATAATTTACTCTTATGTAGAGGTTATATGATTCTATAAAGTAAGTTGTTAACGAATACTGTTAGGGTTGTTAACGCCCTCTCATTAAATTGTTAATAGTCGCTGCTGAAGTTGTAAATCGTAATGATAAAGCAAATGTGAATCTGAAATATAAAGGGCAGTAATGTTATTTTACAAATTGAAAATATTACTCCGAGGTCTCTTGGGACTTGTCAGTGATTTTGACATTTCGTGAGACCTCATAGTAATAAATTACATTCTGTGGGACCTGTACGTAATTTTCCCTAATCCAACCCTCCAAAAACACCTCCAAAATAAGGCATAACGAGCTGCAGTGCGCAGCATAAAATAAAATTGGAATTTAAAACGATTTGCACGATATAAGAATCATGCCTACGCGCTTTTTTTCTTTTTCAAAAATCAATAAGATAAACGCATGCGTAAATACTAAAAACGCATAATGAGTAATGACATGAAAAGGGAATCCAACCGGGCTGTAATTAAGATTTCCAAATAGAATGATGGCAACTACAAAACCAAATCCTACATAAATAGAGCCAAAGTAAGGCAAACTTTCTTCAACATCACCGAAAAAAGTCCATAGTAAAAGCCGAGACGTCCACAATATTTCAACTCTTGAAAAAATTCAAGCTATAGAAAACCTAAGCCTCTGTGCCAGGATAATCAAAGACCACATCTTTGCCCGACAGCTTCCTGTATACTGCAGCAAAAGTCTCAAGCTTGTACTCAGTGTTATTTCGCTCCTTGGGGTCCAAGAAAACCTGTGCCGAGGACAGATGCAATTAAAATTAGCATTAACATAAACAAGTTCTATTCGCCCTGTTACCCACTGCCACCTTAACTAGGTGGGACAACGTTTACATGAAGCAGCTTCTATTCACCCCAAAAAAAGATGGTACGCCATTGAGTTTCCAAGACATCAAAGTTGTAGGATACTTATTTAGCAGAATGCATATGCATCCGCATTAGCCTGGTTAATTAGGGATCCTCTACAAATCTTGATAGCTAATCCGACAAACATAATATCAAAGAAGATTAGCAATGTTATCTTACCTTCATAATCTTGGATCCGTCAACTCGATACCTAATGCGCTTCCCAACAATCTCGGCAGGCAATACAACATCTTCCAGCATTGCTTCATGCACAGCAGTCAATGTGCGGCTACGTGGACGTTGCACAGCAGAACCCTTCTTTGGAGGCCTCAATATCCTCCGGGTGGCAATCAAGACTACATCCTACAAGTTCAAGAAAAGTTCAAGACATATAACAAAAATATCACACAAAATGGAAACTGGTAACACATAGTGAGCAATTATAACCAGAACTGCTCTCCGGTGACTAGAACTACTCCATGAATTATAACCAAAGGTACAAGGGGGAAACGATCCAAACGTTCAATAAACATTCGAAACAAAGATAACTTGTTTGTGAGTGCCATTTTCCCTTTTCTTCTTTTTTTTTTTGGGTTGTTTTTTTTTTTTGTTTTTTTGGGGGGGGGGGGGAAGGTCACATGTTTATTACAGAAATTTGCCATAATAATCGGTCAGCAACATATGGACATCAGTCAACAACATATGGACAATGGAAACAATAAATAAGGGAAGCAAACTGGTGAATTACACGTTTACATCTTGCCAGTCCATCAGCAAGACATAAATCAAATGACTTGTTATTAGTAAATGTTGAAATACCAATATAAAAGATTTCTCGTACTATTTTGATGCCAGTATAACTAATAGTCTTAATCCCTCAACTATTATCGACATTAATAATATCAATATTATTATTACTATTAATATTAATATTATTGTTGTTAAAAATGAATGTCAAGATACTGATCAACCGTCAATGAGTCAATGGCGATCAACCAATACACGAGATATCGAAGTCAGCATACCTTCCCACTGAACTTCTTCTCAAGCTCTCTGACAAGCCTAACATGAATCTTCCTAAAAGCCTTCCTTAGTCTATAGGGAACATGTATAACCACAGCCTTGCGGTTCCCAGATACATCAATTTGACTGCACATCAAGACAAATGTCAGCCATAATTCACGAGACAGGTAGACGTTACAAAACTTCAAACACGCAAACATGCAATACACATACTTACACAGCTGAATTTATGTATAGATCTTTCAGATCACTTTTCAGCTCCTGATTGGTATTTTCCAAATCAAAGAAAGCCTGGAACAACAGAATTAAACCCCAAAACAAAATTATACGATGACAAGAGGAAACAGCATATAGGCAATGATGGGTTAGCAGCAACAGAAGCATTATATAATATCAAAACCTGCCCAACCGACTCTTCAAACTCAGTTGGCTCAGCATTATTGTCTTTATGGATTTTCTTCCTTGACGTGTACATCTTCACTACTCTGGTGAAAGAACATTGAGGAAATAATATCAACAACCTACCTTTGGATATATTAAAATATAACAAATATTGAAAGAAACTAAGTTGAGAGTGAAAAATATAAGTTTAATTAAAAACTACAAGAACATTATCATTTCAAGATTCCGAGCACTAAAACCCCTATCACAATTACTGTGGTTAATAAGACATACTGGAGATTTGTTCTCTTCTCTTGTCGCATAACCACTTCATTTTAAGGGATTTTAATGCAGCATAGAGCAAGGATTGAGGCTCACGATTCTCATGACAGAGCAGAGGAACCAAAGAAAGTTTTGCAATAGCATATTCATAATTCCTTCCAGATAAAAGGCAATTCAGGTCTTCAAAGCTATTGAGAACAGAAATCAGGACAAAGAACAACAGTTTACAAATACGTCGTCCAGTATACGACTTCTCTGAAATATGTTCTATGACTATAGCTTCTGCGAAAACAATTCATTTACGAAAGCAAACACAACCATCAATCAAACATTCAAACCAGCCGCCGCACTATGTTGATTCCCACAGAAACATATAAGAGGGAACCTATCTCCCACCCTCCATTGAGTTTTCTCAATTAATTTGCAGGAGGAATCGAAGTTCAAACATGTTCTTGGTTTAATCCTCACCTCAGAAAGAGCAAGCCACCGGACAGATCCGCTGCCTCGGGTGAGAGACTCTGGTCAGGCTTCGCCGAGTTCACTGAAAACCCTAGGGTTTGAGTGATGTCCTTTGGTTATATAGACATGGAATGAACGCCTAGGATTAGTTTTTGTGCACGTGGACGCGTGATATTTAACGACAGCCATAATCTAAGTGTGTCCGAGTGGATGCCAATTTATATTTTGTTGATTTTGATATTTAGAAATAATTACAAATATATTTTTTTGCCAAATGAATAACTTCAAGATAAAAATTTTATATCCATTTTATCAATTTTTTTGCCAAGAATTTTTATATAAATATTAAATGTATCAATACATGAGAAAATATATAACAAACAATATTATTTAAAAATTAAGAATGTCAAATTGTGTTGATTAAATTTTGTGCAATACACAAATCTATTTATCTAGTATTGTGAGCATATTAGAAGTGAGACAGAAGAGGTCATTTAATTTTTCACAATCACATGCATTAAATTACTTTTTTATATTTTTCGTTTATTTATATTTCCGTTTTTTCCCAAGTTTTGTGATTTACATTAATTCACGTTATTTCAATGATTAGCAGATTTTCAAGTCATATATTGAAGTAATAGAATGGGATTTTATGCGTGGTTAACTAAGACTTTAGGTGGTCCATAGCAAACAAGCAAATTAAAACTTGCAATTAGCAAAGGAAAAAGAAGAAGAAGAAAAAGTCCATAAAAAAGACCACCCAAAAAAATAGCGCAAGCAGACCTCATACTCATGGCAATGAACATTTTTAAAATGTAACTTGTTTTGTTATATCACATCACTTATTATCAAGTCTTTTTTATTTAAACTTATAATCAAATTTTTTGCAGGCACAGATATTCTCTTATTAGAGATAATCTTATTTGAAAGTCAAGTACTAAATGTGAGTTGTCTAAGGGAGTGTTTGGATGGAAATCAAACCATGGTTTTAGAAATGATTTTACGATCTACGAGGTAAATATGTAGATGAATTTATTTCGATTTACGAAAAAGTACTTCTGAGAAATACTTTTCAGGGTATCCAAACACTCCCTTGATAAAGATTCAAACATATAATCAATTCTTAAACCAATCCACTTGGGTGTGGTATTCCGTCGGATTTGGGCTTTGGGCTCTGTTTGTTGGGTTTTCGTACACCTGAATGTTTCTAGGTAATGAATTTGCATTTCCGTTGGCCCAGTAAATAAAACGGCTAACTCAATCAAATTGTGTAGGCCATTCCCAATCTACAGATATCTAATGACCCAATATAAGGGGGAAAATCTCCCTTTTATCTCGTTGCGTTGAGGGGGAAAAAAGACATGGAACTTTTAATGAATTTGAACACTAAATAGATTATAATAACTACTCCATATTTTTAATACAAGATCTAGTTAAAAATTTAATTGGGTTCTAAATATAAGACCTCAATTTAATTTGTTTCTAATTTTTATCCATTTTGTTCCAAGTAATATTTATAGTGACTGCATATGTTACTCTAGGTAATTTTAATACACATAATTAATAAGAGTATTTTAGTGAACACAATATCTATTTATTACAAATAAATAATTTAATTAACTTTCTTAAAATTAATGACCTAGCTCTTCTTGTACTACTGTTAAGGAGTGGAGGTACTATTACAATTGATTCTGAAATATGTTTTGATATCGTTTTACTTTCCTGGTTCATGCCTCACTTTCAAAAGGACAAAGGACCACCAACGACTCGTGCGCGTGTGTCTCGAGGCAATGTACCATCTATGAAAGCACCCTTGATCTGCAAGTTTCAAAAAGTTGATACTCGATAAGGGTATTCAAAGCCGGCCCATCTGATCGGCCTGTTCCGGTCCCAGTTTTGTTAGGACGGGACGGGTTCATCTTGAAATTTTTCGAAACCAGACAAATCGGGACAGGACACAGGATAAGGTTGTTCCGTCCCGGTCCCTTTTTTTATTTTTTCATCCTATTTATATAATTTTATTTTTTTATTTTTTTAAGATTTGAGACTATTGTGTGGAACTATGGATATATTCATTTAGAGTTTTTATATTTGTTGATAATTTGAGACTATTGATTATTAGAATTTGTAGCAAGTTTTTATTATGTTAAAAGCTTTTGTTTAGAGTTTTAAATGACTATTATATGTAATATTTTGGATTTTTGTTTAAGGGTGTCCAAAGAAATAAAAAAGAAAACACAAAGATGTTTTTACAAGACTTAGACCCAAAAAACTACAATTAGAAAAAAAAATCAGATTTTATTAAAAAAAGACCGGGACTGGGACAACACCAGAACGGGACACGGGATAGAAAATTTATCCTATTACTGTTTATCGGGACAGATCTGTTCCGGTCCCGATCCCAGTCCATCCCGTCAACAATCCTCTGTTACTCGGAATACTTTTCTGTGATTTGTCCACTGTGCTGAGAACTGAGGAAAAGAATGAGTTTTTAATCTAATGGGTTTTTAGTCTTTCTTCCCCTCACTTTCCAATTATCCGTGGCCTTGCAAATGTCAGACTCTTCTCGTCAGACCAACACAAAAACTATATCATCAGAGCAAAAGCAGGGCCGAACAACCACAACAACACGTTAATCTTGTACAACAAATCAAGCACCCTCTACATAAATCCAGTAGTCATATAAACTATTAATTAATTGACAGTTGCTTCATATCAGATAACAAATAACATCATGGGATGTAGTGTTTGGTTCATGACAAAAAGAACCAGAACCCCTAAATTCTTATTCTTTACTAGTTTTTGAACTGCCACAGTTCATCCGTGCCCCACATGCTGCATGTAACATCATTGTTCATCCAGTTTCCTACCATAGTAGCCTCAGCTGTCACTGTCGTTCCCAGATTGAATGTTTCCATGTCGTAAGTATTGTTATTAACATAGTGTCCATCATACATAAAGGAGCTCATGTCACTGGCATCTAAAGCCTGAAACTGAGACACTTCTGGGATGTTTGATGATTCTGAGGAAGAAGAAGACACGCAGGAACTGTTTTGAACTGTTTCATTCATCCCACAAGGTCCCTGCCAAGGAAACTGTGTTGGAACTGTCCCTATCTGTGAACACAGGGAAACACTGTCAATAGGCAAAGGAATCTTTTGGTTTTGGATTAACATAGCAGGAGCAGGTGGTGGTGGAGGAGGAGGAGGAGGAGGAGAAGCTGTTTCTCTCGCTTTCTGCAGCAATCTTGGAATCCAAATTCGCCTCACGATTTCTTTAAACTCCGCGCTGTTTGTGTCAATATTCAAGTGTCTTGCTTGTTTCTGAATCCGAGTTCTCCAATAGTTCTTGATTTCATTGTCTGTCCTCCCTGGAAGTCGCTGTGCGATCTTTGACCACCTGGTACGAACAATCCCATATACTGAATGAACAATAAAAGTTGATAAAACTTACGAATTAGTCATAGGATAGAACCGAACAGAGCAGGTACCTGCTGCCCCACTCTAAGTAGAGTTGAAGGATCCAAATCTGCTCTTCTGGGGATAAATTTCCTCGCTTTACCTGTGGGTTCAGATAATTAAGCCATCTTAATCTGCAGCTCTTTCCCGTTCTCTTCAACCCTGACTCACAAAAAAGAAAAGAAAACGAAAATCAGAATCAGCAGAGAGATTGCTTCACCTTTTTGAGCTCTACTGTTCAGAGTTTTATCATTACCTGAACGTTTTGCCAGCAAATTCCATCGTCCTTCCCCATGAGCAGAGACGTACTCTGTTAACAGAGTATCTTCTTCAAGAGTCCAAGGTCCTCTCCTAAGTTCATTATCATCTTCACTACAACTGCTCTCGCTCTTGGAAGCAGACATGACTGCTTTTACAGAGGAAACCCTGAAACACTAAGCTTTTATATATGTAATAGATGAAGAAGAAGCCGAAAGAGTCTAGAAGATATAGAGTTCGAAAGCAAATTGGTCTGCCCAAGTTATACAAGTAGCAGGTCTAAAGTTTAAGGCTTCACACTGTGAACTCTCAATTACTTTTCTAAAGGGGCGAAAAAAAAAAAATAAAGTAATAAAACAGTAGTGATATAAAAAATAGAGTAAAGTAATAAAATAGTAGTGATATAAATTCCACAAGACAGCTTCCATTCATCTTCCGTAGTCAGTGCCACTGGAAACTTTTAAAGGGGGTGATAGATGTGAACTAGATAGGTTCATTGTTTGGCATCTCCATAATCCTGCTTGTAGACAAAACGACAGATTTTAATTTATAGGAAGGATGATGTGGTACACTGGCTGCGCAAATGGGAAGTTTGCTTTAGTCCTAGCCAGATTGGCTGTTCTAATTGGTAATTAGCCCGACAGGGAATGGACCCTAAAGAAATGTACTCCATGTGAAGACATCTCGAAAGGTCTTCCCTATTTTATTTCAGATAGTAAGTTGTCTTTTTTACTTTTCTTTGCATCCATGTTAGATTTGAGCATCATGAAATAAACCTTTTTAGCATGATTTTTCCTATTCATAGATTCGAATATATGACTTAAGGTGGTGCTCCTTCTGGTTTTAAACGTGAAAGCTAGAAAATTAATACATACACATGAAGGGAAATTAATTAAATTAATATTATTTTGTTAGAAAAAATGTAGGTTTAAACTACCTCTCCTTTTAATCATTTACATTAGAAACTATTTTTACTAATCACACGCCTTAATACATGTAATCAGTATATGAGTAATTTTAGGTTATAATTATAATTATAAATATGATAGATAAAGAAGATTAATGTTTTTCTCTGAGAATCAAAATGAGCTCCTTAATTAATTTATGCATTTAGAATTGGACAAAATATTGAATTCATTTCACATGACTTATTTATAATGATGAATTCATTTATTTTAACAACCATAAGAACAACAAATATCATCCCAATAAATGGGACATGTAACACGTTATACTTTGTCAATAACTAACCCTTTAAAAATATGACTTTTGAACATGTTTATTAAAAACATGGTACCTTAGCTTTTTAACGGTCACTTGTTTCTTATAAGTAGATTAAGAGGAGGTATTATTTATCCATAATTCTCCATTGATGACTTTT